AGTTCCAAGTTCTAACTCTTGTTTCGTGCTCTTTGTTCTTTTAGTGTATGTTATGGGTATTATTATATGAACTTAATGACAGTTTTGTATATAAATTGCCTCATGTATGTGTGTGTGTGTGTGTGTGTGGTGAGCGCATGTGCTGGCCGCACGTGCGCGTTGCTCGATTCGCTCGCAACCGGCGCCCGCATCCTGCATCCGCTTGATTCATCTTCTTTATGTTAAACACGCACCTACCGTGCACCATGCACCATGCACCACGCACCACGCACCACGCACCGGCTCGACCGAACAATACATTTGGTGTGGCATTCTTGTTAGTAAGTCAAAATACATACAGAATATCCTCGTAAAGTTTCTAGAACGGAAGTGATGCCTAAGTTTGTGTGATTTAATTAATCAGGGTTAATGGGTGAAGATGAAATGGCGACCCCGTCTGCGCTATTGGTATACGCTGGCGGGGCACCAGTGAGTGATGATAGGTGAAGATAAAGGTTAGGTCAGTTTTTTTTCAAGTGAAAATGGAATGGTAACCCCGCCCAGCGCGGGTGAGGTTACCATTCCATCAGTATACACCGACGAGGCACTAGTGGAAGATGATAGATGAGAATGAATGCAGGTCAGTTGGCCCATTATGATGAATTCGACAAGAAATAAACATGATGGTTTCCAGGGGGAACCGAGTGGAGGTCGACCTGAGAGGGTATATTGCTAGCAATGGGGCTATTAGACCCCATTACTAACAATCCCTTCCCTCCAAGTTAGGTCAGTTAGCCCATCATGACGAATTCCACAAGAATTAACCAAGATGGTTTCCAGGGGGAATTACGTTCGACCTGGCAGGGTATATTGTTAGCAATGAAACTGTTACATTCCCATTACTAACAGTCCCTTCCCCCCAATTAACTAATTATGGTCACAAAACAGTAGACGTAAACAACATGGCGCAAGTCTCCTCCGTTAGAGAAGAATTATCAGCCTTCTATAACCAGACTGGCCTAGCACGTCGGTTTAAAGATTTTTTTCTCTTGCACTGGTGCTTCATGATTTGTCTTTTAGTCGCGTCTTATGACCTCTTGGGGAGGAAAAGTAGTTTGTCGTTAGTCTGTTGAAAGTTTTTAGAAAAAAAAAATATAGTCTCGATAGTGCACGAGTATGAGCCCGCTAGTTGATAATAAAAACATTAACACATTTAGATTCAGGTAGTGGTTAATATAAAGTGGCTGTTTCCTAGAGAACTTTCTGAAAAGTTCGACGAGGTACCTTGGGTAATATGAACAATAAAAAAAAGTAAACATTTTATTGCGTAACATACAATAGGTCAGTGCAGAAGTAAACAAATTTAGAAGTACATAGGTACGTACCGACAATGCTTGTGAGACGAGTTGACACTAGTGAGCTGAGGGTTTGAAACTGCGCGAGTACAGGGTGTTGTTCACATTTTCAATTGTATCCAAGTCGGTGTTCCACTCTTTACACACTCGGAGAGAATGCACGTAAACTTTGTGTTGACATTTTAATGGCTTTATTCACACAATCGAGAAGTGTTCGAGCGTAATATTATTATGAGAGCTAGGGTTGACAAAAGTCGACACCTGCATTTTTACTATTTTCTGTTGGTTGTTATGTCAGCATGTAGCTGTATAATTTATATATAATGACCGTTAGTGACATATATACATATACACCACGATTTTAGGTGTTTATTTCAATAAAAAACAAGAAAAAAAAAGCTTTTGATCGCGTTTCTTGGAGTAAATATTACTACAGATTCACTGATTAGGCTCCCCTTGTCAGAATTTGTTATAAATAACACTATACTAAATTATAGAATTTAAATATGTCCCGCTTCAATCATTTACATTTACAGGACATTGATTTTTTATTTTAAAAAATCAACGTTGTAAATTATTTATTATTATTTTTAGATCAATCAGTCAGTATATTCTACTTCGAGTTATTTTTCGGTTAAGTAGAATTGTCAATATAATATACAGAATTATGATACGTCTATTTAAAAATGCTCATCTCTAAATATTTTTTTCGGTTTTTCCGATCTCGCCCGTCCCTAGTAAATGCGGTGACGTGGAGAGCGAGTAGAGAGTGCATCGGACATAAATACCCCGCGTGCAGTATCCTCGGTGCGCTAATAATAATAATAAATAATAATATTTATTTAATTAGACAACATAAGGCCCATTTTGTTAGTTACAAATTGACTTAACCTATGTTAGTAAATGAGCGGTCATAACGCTCTTACATTGATAACCTGTCCCACCCAATATTTTAGGATGGGACAGTCCATTTTATCAGCAATTGTCTTCAGGACACTGTTTGAGCTAACACGCACCCTACCCAACAGCGAAACAATTCGTTTGCGTCGTATTGCGTAAAAATCATCTGTACGCTCCCGTGCAAACATGTGTGACGCACTACAGTGACTAGGTAGCCCCAACAGTGCCCTGAAGGCATTATTGTATTGGACTCGAAGAGCATTGTAAGTTTTTTGACTATAGTTGACCCACAAGCTACTTGTGTAGAACACCTGACAAAAAGCTTTAAACAGGGTTATTTTTACTTGTTTTGTACATCTAGTAAACCTGCGGGCCAACATGTTACTTCTAACTGCCAATGCTCTTCTTTCTCGTTCTATATCCAGGTCATCTTTTTAAGTATTTGCAATAATGTGACCGAGATATTTAAAATCAGTTACCACGTCAAGTACATTTCCATTAAGTGATATAGGAGGCACATACTTCGGTTTTTTATGTCTAGATACAAATGTCATAATTACACTTTTGCTAGAATTATATACCAGACCATGGTTTTTCGCGTATGCTTCACACACAGCTAGCATTTTTCTTAAAGCTCCAATTGAGGGGCTCAGCAGTACCATGTCGTCGGCATAGCTTATGTTATTGACGCTTACTCCATCAATATAACACCCAGCATGCATTTCGCTGAGCTCCTCAATTAGGCCATTTACATACATATTAAACAAGTTGGGTGAAGTCAGCCCACCCTGCCTTACTCCGCATTTTAATCGGTATGAGTCTGATAGAGTATCATTCCACCTCACCTGATTACTTTGATTATTATACCAATACTCAAGAACTCTAACTAACTCTGTAGGAAGCGTAGTCTTATCAAGTTTACTCCATAAAAGATCATAAGATACCATATCAAAGGCTTTACTTAAATCCAAGAAACATGCATAGACTGGAGTGGATCTGTCTGTGTAATATCTGACCGTATGCTTGAGACACAGAATGGCCGATTCAGTCGACACCCCCTGCCTGAAGCCAAATTGAAGGTCATGCAAGTTTAGATGTCGTCTAAGTTGCGTATCAAGTAAACCGTCAAACACCTTGGCTGTTATTGTAGCCAGTGATATAGGTCTGTAATTACCGCTGTCCGATACATCTCCCGTCCTGTTCTTAAGTATTGGTACAACAATCGTTTTCAACATATCCTCTGGTAGGTATGTATGCCCAATACAAAACGTGTATAACATTGAGAGCACCCTGGGCAAATGGTCCCCAGCTGCCTGAAAATGCTCTATACTAAGGCCATCATGCCCAGGGGACTTTCCTCTTTTCATGTTCTTTATAATAAATTCAATATCTTTACATGTAAAATTATGCATTTGACCTACTATCTTTTTACTACAAGCATTTGTAGTCGACTGTAAGTTTTGTTGACCTAAAGGAGATGTTACTCTAAAATAATTTTTAAACATATTAGCTATTTGTTTAGGACAATTAATACCATTAATATTTACAGGAAAATTAGTTTTACCGTTAAGACTATTTGTCGCTCTCCAAAATCCACTAAAGTCACTTCTGGAGCGGCAAAGAGCAATTATATCCATTTTTATTTGGTCTTGGTTATTTTGACACCATTTTAGTTTACTTTTAAATCTCTTACGACTCTCATACATTTCTTTATACATAATACCCTCAGTTGGTTTACCATATAATTCCCATATCGAAAACTTTATTCTAGCCTCATTATGTGCCTCCCTTACATATTTATTCCAACCAGTTACACATCTTCGCCGCCCAACAGGCCTGTCGTGACTTCGAGCTGCAGCTTCTGCTAATGTATTTACTATATTACTGTATAATTGGTTTATTATGGTCTTATGAATAGGATCACTGCACTCTCTATCACAACAATTAGCAAGCTCAGATGGGAACTCAATTTCACTTAACTTTTTATTACAATAATTATTATATAATTGTATCTGTTCATAGTCTCTAATTCCCCACAATATTTTATTACAATGTCTTCCATTTATTGCTATTTTTGATTGCAATATATTTATGTTACATTTTATTTGAATAGGGAAATGATCAGACCAATATATATCATAAAGTATATTTATCTCTGTAATAGACTTCCAAGAAGCTTGTGTTACTAAAATATGATCTAACCAACTTTTTGTCCCATGTGCATCGCTAATAAAAGTATAACTATCCGAATTCAAACCTAATTTCTCTATATCCGCACAAATCAGCTGTTGTTCTGTACAGAAATGTAAAAGCTCCTTACCGAATTGTCCATCTGGGTGCGCATTGTAATCACCAAGAATAAATACAGTCTGCGAGTCATTATTCTCAACAATTGCACAGATCTCGCCTAAGCAGTGAGTGAATTCTGTTAAATTTTCACTATCGTCTGTGGGCATGTAAACACTCATAATAACCATTTGTTTATCACTAGTCTCTGCATTAATTGCTATTATTCGCGAACTTTCACATTTAATCACCGACACTGACCTGAAAACACTTTTCCGCCACAATATTGCGACACCACCAAACGGTCTACCGTGAAGAATGCCTACTGATGTGTCCACAGCAGACTTTCCAGAATATCCAAAATCATCATGAATGCTACCTAAAATATATATATCATGAGGTAGAAGCCAAGTTTCCTGCAATGCGACTATATCCGCCCGTTCACATAAAGATTTTATACATTTTACTGATCTTTTCATTGATTTACAATTGAAGGATATCAAAGTTAGTGTTCTATTATGCATTGTTATTTTGTATTTAAAAACTTGTCATCATTACCAGATGTCTTTTTAAAAGTAACAAACCGACGAAACGAAATTCCATCAGGCCATAGACCTGCATCCATAAATATAGATAATTTACTTTGCGGTACAAATATTTTATACGCATCATATTCCTTCTGAAATTTCATGCAAATTTTTTCTAGCGCTACAGACACCTTAGTTTTTTGCAAAATATATGAAGATATGTCCTCTATGGAAGTATTTTTATCAACTTTATTTATAAAAAGCGGTATCTTTACATCTGCTGCTCGAAATTTTTCCTCCGGTTCTGTACTTGCTTGTCCTCTTTTCCCCATAAATCTATTTCTGAGTTTCTTTCTTTGTACAACTATCCAATCTTCTGACTTTTTTCCATTTTTCCATTTTCCGCCAGAAGCAATATCAGCAAATGATTTTTCCACTACTAATGGATGGGAGACTGTGTTGTGACTATTGGCTATGTTCACACCGGTCGCACTCACTTGCGTGTCCGCTGCTATGTTTTGTTTGCATTGATGTACTGTATCTTCTACCCTCGCACTTACGTTTTCTAATGTACTATTTATCAAACAATTAGATTGCGTTTTCGATGGAATATTTATGTTGCACTCGCTATTTATATTTCCATTTTTCTCTTCCTGAGAAATATGAAGCAATCCAATGGGTCCACTGTCGTAATGAAAATTATCAATAACATTTGCACACCCTCTCTTCGTGTTTATATATTGTGAGGGTTCAAAGTTATTCACAATTGAGGCTGATTTTAAATTTGCCAACTCATTCTTTATCAACTGTAATTCTTCCGTTGTAGCGCAGGTTTCCTTTACAGTTCGAACCTCCTGTTGCAACACGAGTATATCTTTTAATAATTTGGTTACATCTACGTGATCAAAACTTATGGGGGGTAGTTTCTGTAAGTTTCTTGCGACAAAAATCGGAATTTTTTCGGGATCTATTCCTTTCAATAGTGATAAAATATCTTCTATATCCCGCTTCTCTTTACCGTCCTTTTTCCGCATAATCTTTCGTATCTTCGTATTGACTGAGTCAAATAACAAAGTCTTCGCTTCCCTGATTTCTTCACTCGAAAATGAAGTCGTAACAATACGAATGAGACTTTCCTCGTCCATAACATCACATTTATTTTGAACAAAAGATAATAGTTCACTAATTACAATATTACAATTATTGCATTTCAATATATTTGTTGCCATTATGCTAAGCGATCTATAGACAGCGCCTTTGCACATCCGTACTCAATGAAACGAACGCAACGACTGATGATGTCATGTTTCATTCATCCGGTGAAATGCCGGCCTTGCCCTGTCCCTGGTGCCCGGGGCCGCCCGGCCGGGGCGGGCGCCCGTGTCCCGTGTCCCGTGTCCCGTGTCGTGTCCCGCGCGCTCCACTCCGTGCAGCCATTATCTTGATTTACTCGCAGCGTTGACAAGTTAAACATTAATTATACGTTATCAACGGATTTTTGTATATAGGCAGTCGTAGTTTTTGTTTCGTTAGAGTGAATTTAAATTCTAATTAACTTTTATAATCTACCAATAGAACTTAGATTTACAGAAAAAAAAAAAAATTCGAGTATATAAATTATCTGGCCGAAGAGTAAAATCCTGTTATTTATTTTTTTATGCAATTTAAAATGGCAAACAAGCTGACGGCTCACGTGAGAGAAAGTAGTAACCGTCGCCTATAGACATTAGCAGTACCATAGACATAACAGAGTATACTGTTTTGTCCATAATATCTTCCGTGCGTTGCCATTCTTGAGGACTAAGGTAATATTCCTTTGTATCCTGCGAATTCGTTGCCATATTTCACACTTCAAACCGAAACAGCCATGCAATTATAACTTCTTTACGGTAGAAATACGAATGCGACAGAGGTACCCAAGCAAACGATTTTTGTATCCCTCTGCCACTATGGCGTTTGTGGACTATGCGAAAGCCTTTGATTCGATAGAGACACGGGCTGTACTACAGTTCTTCCAGCGATGCCAAATTGACTATAAGTATATCTAAGTGTTAAAGTGTATGTACAGCAAGGTTACAATGTACTCGTATATCCGAATACAGAACTAGAGTATGAAACCTATGGAACCGAAACATGGTCCTATCATGTAGAGCCCGTGTGTAAAAGCTTACGAGCTATGGAAAAAACATTACTCAGCGAGCTAAGGAGAGGGCTATGCTCGGTGTTGTAGGATAATCCCCGATTACTTGGAATGACGATTTCAAATGTATTGTAAGTGGATCAGGTGACTCAGGACTGTTCTTTGTGGTAGTCTTTTGGGGAGCAGTGGACAGATAATGGCTGACATGATGATAATGATAAATTGTCTAATATCTGACGAACCAAGTTCTGATGAGGTCTGGACTAGATAATACATCCTGTGATATTGATAGCCCTTTTTTAAATATTTGAAAATGTGAAAATGAGTTTGTTTATTATCTCTTGACGTCTAACGGTTCAACCAATCGACATGATATTTGGCATATATTGTAGCATTTGGTACTGAGAAGATGTAGGCTGTTTTATATCCCAGACAATTAACATGTATATATCTATCAATCGGACGAAGTAGCACCAATGCTAGAATATAAATTTGAAGTGGATCATGTAGGTGGCGATAATTACAGCTTCCTGATCGACTGTCTGTTTATTACTACGGCGCAGGTCCCGGATGGTGCTCGGTGGAGGTGGTGACGGTGGCGGAGCGCGCTGGCGGGCGAGAGTTTCGCCCGCAGTTCACGGGGCAGAGCGCGGCGGTGGTGGCGGCCGTGGGCCAGAACGCCTCTCTCGTCTGCGAAATATACCACCTGGGCAATAAATCGGTGCGTATTTGCAAATCATTCCAGTATATATTGATTTATACTTTAGTACTTATTCGAGTATGACGTGTATCATCATATTAGCATTTAATCGTCCATTGCTGAACATAATTTCCTCCTTGGGGGGTTTTGTCAGTAGTTGCCGAGCTTGGCAAGTAGATTGGCAACCGCAGTTAGGCTTTAGAAATATTTTAAGAGGGACGCTGCTGCTCATTCCTTGCCCTCTCTTAGTGGCCTCTTACGACACCCACGGAAAAGAAAGGGGTGGCCTGTTCGATGCCGGGACCACATGAACGGAACGTGTATAAGACGGACTTAATGCTAAGTCTTGTCTTCAAACGAACCTTTATTTTATATTTTGTTATACAAAAATGCGTTGTAGACAATATACTTATATGATCAGCCTAATGCTATGTAATACCTGCAGTTTATGGACATTTGAAACGATATTTTTTTTATTTATGAATCTTAAAATCTCCTACAAACCTTTTTTTATACTTTAAAAGTGGCAAACAAGCATACAGCCCGTCAGATGGTAAACGATCACTGTATCCTATGGAAGCCTGCGACACTAGAGGTGTCACGTATGCGTTGCTGATTCTAAAGAAATCTTAATATACCCTTTTTGAAGAACCCCATACTGTAGTCTCAAGGGAAAACTTCGGCAGGTAAACTATTCCATAGCTTAAGCGTTCGTGGAAGAAAATTTCTCTGGAACCGCATTGTACGTAACTATTTAGGTTCAAGCATATGAGGATGAATATCTTGTCGATGGCAAGCAGTGCGATGTTAAAAGGTGACCGTAGGCGTTATTTCAAACAATTCCTTAGAACACAATCCGTATACAAGCGGTAGAAGACATAAAGGGATGTAAAGTTGCGTCGCCTAAGACTCAAATCTTTAGAATCGAATCAAATGGACCAAGATGGTAAGAGTCTCAGGGTGAAGTACCGTTTCGATCTATTGAGCATTTCGAGCTTTTTCGACACCAGCTTGATCTCCGAACTCTATAGTGCTGAAGATGTCAACACCGCGAATACCAATACTGTTGGCGATTACAAGGGGCGTGTTTTCGAATTGCGGGACTACAGTAAATGTTTTTTTAGTGGTAAACAATTTTAACTATTAAAGAGTCTTCATCCTTCTAAACTGTAAAAATAGTTGAACAAAAATATGCACAAAAAACTTGAATAACTGTATAGGGTTTAAACGTTTGATTTTTTGATTAATAATGGTATAAAGTAAAACGATTAATAAAATTTTATGATTTTACTGGCATAACTCACCTATCCAACCGAGACATAATCATTATCACATCAGTGGTCAACTGCTTCCCCCATAGACTGCATATAAGGAACAGTCCCGAGCCACCTGCATCCATTGACTTTCCGCAATGCATTTAAGGTCATCGAGACTCGATATGTACTAGTTAATATGCATAATATTCATACCAGTTCTCTACAAAATCTCGAAGAATTCGATGGTATAGTGGTCATAAACTGTAATATGTGGTGATCTGGATATCAGTTTATAATCGTGGAGAGTTGGTAATTTTGCAACTAACTTGAAACATTTCCTTGACAAGGCTGACTCGGATCTAATACACAGAATGTAATGTTTGGTTATATTTAGGCTACGTTACGACGACTCGCTGAAATGTGTATTATGCGATCAGAAACACAAACATTTTGATGTGTACCAGAAATATCTGATGAATCGGCTATCGTGCGGGAGATCCACTTTGTAACGCCTTAGATGAGAACGCGTTGGCGAGTTAGCGCGGCGGTATGCGCGCTATGCGGTGACGAGGAGGCCCAAAATATTTCCGCGAAGTTCGTCCTCCACGTCATCCCACGGGACACGCAAACGTCCAGCTGACAGTGATCGTGAGCGATCCCGAAAATGCCGGTCAACGACTCGGTGCGCGGGCGGCGCGGGCGCACCGCGCTATCAAAATAAGACGGCACGCGCTCCTACAATACGAGCACTTCCCGGAAACGCCACGTGCCAAATACTATAATTTTCGGGATTTGCATCGTATATAACTTTGATCTAGCTACGTAGTAAACACGCGATTTAAATATTAGCAATTTCTCGTATGTAGTCGTGACTCATGCGACCTACCAAGGACGCTCGGCCAGCGGTAACAGCCCAAGTATAAACTTCGCTAATTGACAAGTTCTATAAACAAATATATTTGTAGTAAAATATTTTCATAAGAGTGATGATCCCTACAATAAAATTGAAATGAGACCGAAACATCTATATATAATGCTGACGTGAGGATATATGATTATCTATGTTCATGTCAAATCCCTTTATGACCTCGCAGAGATCTATTGCACTATTTCGAAGACATTACATTGTAATGAAGTAATACTATTTATTTATACTGTGATGAGATTAAATCGCACAATAAATTATAGAATACAATTTACATAATTTAACAATATTTCTATACTTTATTAGATTTTTTTCCCAGAAAATCGTAAATTACAGTCGTCTTTTGTGTGAATTTCTTGTCACTGAATTTGTTAACAATTTTAAATGTTGTAGCGTAACTATTTATCATGATGATCTTATTGTGATGAGCGGAATCAAGAGCGGGGCTATTATTAGATTATTTTCTAATAATAGCTGCATCTCAGTCTTGTATCCAAGTGCAGTAGATTCTGCGCCGCTGCCTCTCGCTAGATATTGTAGTCCTCTGATTATCGGAGGTCGAGAGGATCACAAACTTTCTATTTTGGCGGCAGGTATCGTGGGTGCGATCCCGCGACTTGCAGATCCTGAGTCACGCGGGCGTGGTATTTACGGCGGACAGCCGCGTGTCGGCGTCGGTGGCTGGCGACCGGGCCACCAGCCGCCACCTGCTGCACGTCGCGCGCTTGCGCACCGGCGACTCCGGCCGCTACGAGTGCCAGATCAACACGGACCCCAAGATGAGCATGTTCTTTAACCTCACCGTGTTGGGTATGTTGTGCACATAAACATTATGATATGTTCATGCATGTAGTAACTATGTGGGGCGCGGTCAGTTGCTGGTTGTCTACTATTGCCATCGGAACATTCGAAACGTAACGTGACTAATTCTGCATTAGATTTATCTATACTGCTTCATACTTTAATGAGTCTATTTGTTTTCAATGGGGCAGAGATTGACTTTACTCTTGTTTCTCGGATTAGTTAAATTACTGCATCGGACAAATGAAAATTTTAACGCATTGATTTCAACTCTCTTTGAGTTGAGAATCTAAACATCATTACTAGACCTTGATACTATCTCTTTTCTTCTGTCAGTATATTATATAAAATGCCACTATCGTATAGAATAATTTCAATTATTTATCATTTGAAATATTCTTACTTTTTGATGCGGTGATGTTTTATTTATTAACATTTAGCAAATCGTATCTGCCTAATTTACTAATGAACTGATTTGTTATGACATATACATATGCGGGAATTCGGCGAAGAGAATATTATTCTAAGAAAAAGGAGGAGAGCACAATTGAGGATAGTTGTTCGTGCATTGCAGACGAGCCAGTGCCGCAGACGGTGGTGGAGCTGCAGGGCCCGGCCGAGGTGACGGCGGCGCTCGGCAGCACCGTGACGCTGCGCTGCGAAGCGCGCTACGAGCCGCCGCCGCGCCGCCTGCCGTTGCCCGCCCTCGACATACACTGGTTCAAAGATGACCAGCCCATTAATTTACAGGTGAGCGTGAGGTGTTACATAACAAGTTCACTACATAAAAAGGCATTTCGTAGATTAATTTCTGTAGGTCCTAGAATATTGTTCAAAGATTCATTGTATTTCTCTACAGCAAAATGTCACATAGAATAATTTTGTGAAAATAATTACCGTACATGAGAGGTATTATATACGCAGATGGGACTGTATAAGGCGACGGTTATCATTTTTCATTCAGTGGACTATTAGCTTATTTGCCTTTCTAAGTTGCATAAAAAGCAATAGTCATGTTCGTTACTCGTCGAATATTTCAAAGACGACTGAGCTAAGTCTGCCATCTAGGTTTGAAGTGTGGCGTCCTTATCGCAACTTTGGATCAATTTGTAATACAGAGGAAAACGGTATCATTAGGGACTACTCACACTTATTAGGCTTCATTCGCGTTTCGCTGAACGATTTTGGTCACACTTATATAGCTCTGTTTCTATCAGTCGCATACGGTGTCGTAAGAATGAGAAAAGCCGTCATAGCATGCTATCTTCGCTGAAACGCTTGTCTACTGCATACGGCGTTGAATATACTGCATTTCCGTCTGCACTCTTTAATCCTTGCGTACATCATGATTACGCAATAATCAATCAAATCAATGGAGAAACAATACAGGTCGCAACTTGTCGGCAAGGAGTCGCGAAACATCCCTGTAAAGAGCTGTTTCGCCGCGTTCGAAGGTGAATGCGGTGGAACAGTGCCGATCGCGGCAGAACAGTGCTGAACGCTCTCTGTATCATTCGCATGATAAATACACATTTATCTTCATTTTATACTGAGTTACCGCGAAAGCAGAATAGACGTGGAAAGCTAAATGGATGCGTACACGTCTTCATACAAAATCGTAGTTTTCTATGGACAAAAGCTGAATAGAGCTGAATAAGTGTGAGTAGTCTCTTAAAGAAACGTAAGTTATGCTAGTTTATTAAGGCTTAGAATAAACAATAGATAATATTTTTTTAATCATGTAAGTGAGGTCTTTTATATAAATTAAGAATAGTAATGGATCTCGAAATTCGTTTTGTGGAACATTTATTTTTATGTTAGTTCCTTTTGACTTTGCGCGATCAATTTCTACAAAATGTACTTTATGATTTAATTTGTAGTAAGGCGCTATTTTTAAAATCATAATGTTGAAATTACACAAAAAATATATTTAATGAAATGCACTTTAAAGGTTACAGTACATTTCAATAACATTTTGTGATTTTTGTTGGTTCTATTTGACTTTAGAAATTAAATACTCATGCTTTTATAATTCTGTTAGATCGAGAGCGATCGCTGATGACGATTGTACGAGAATTGTAATAATTGACATGTTTATTTAGTGCAATATAACATATTTGCTGCAATGAGGGAGGTTGGCAGAGAGTAAAACACATTCGTTGATGATAGTAAACTAGTGTACTTCAGAGTTACAAGATGAATATTCTGGCCTTAACTAGTTACAATATTTGTTTTATATAAACTGCTCCGTGCTAATATGGAATACGATATTAGGAAGTTATTTCAAACTTTTTGTTACGTTCATGGAATGTGTCATTAATTACGTTACCATATTACATTACTTTTGAAAAATAGGTATTCACATGCACTGTTTAATTGTCGCAGAATCTCTATTCTAATCTATATTATTTTTTAAGTTCCTTCCTTGCAAAATCATTATTCGTGTGGTTTCTGCGGAGAACGGAACTACTTCTTTTTTCGGGGTGTCGAAGGAGACCGACTAGGGGAACTTAACGGGTAAGGAACGAGTTGAAGCATCTGATCTAAAACATTACTGAGGCCTAAGTGCGGTCACCGAGTCGGCTGTCGACGCCGATGATGATGAAATTATTCATCTAATTACTGTTTTCCTGTAAATTATTGATGAAAGGGTATAACATATAAAGGTGTGCGTGTGTGTGGTGCGTGCGCAGAGCGCGGGCGGCGGCGGCGGGGTGCTGGTGGACACGCGGCGCGGCTCGGCGCGCGCGGAGTCGCGCCTGCAGCTGCGCGCGGCGGACGGCGCCGCCGGCCGCTACACCTGCCGCGCCGCCGGCCGGCGCGCCGCCGTCACGCTGCGCCACGCGCCGCACGCAGGTACGCTCGCTGCACCTCTATTGCTCTACCACCGACACAGCTCCGCCGCCGGCCGCTACACCTGCCGCGCCGCCGGCCGGCGCGCCGCCGTCACGCTGCGCCACGCGCCGCACGCAGGTACGCTCGCTGCACCTCTATTGCTCTACCACCGACACAGCTCCGCCGCCGGCCGCTACACCTGCCGCGCCGCCGGCCGGCGCGCCGCCGTCACGCTGCGCCACGCGCCGCACGCAGGTACGCTCGCTGCACCTCTATTGCTCTACCACCGACACAGCTCCGCCGCCGGCCGCTACACCTGCCGCGCCGCCGGCCGGCGCGCCGCCGTCACGCTGCGCCACGCGCCGCACGCAGGTACGCTCGCTGCACCTCTATTGCTCTACCACCGACACAGCTCCGCCGCCGGCCGCTACACCTGCCGCGCCGCCGGCCGGCGCGCCGCCGTCACGCTGCGCCACGCGCCGCACGCAGGTACGCTCGCTGCACCTCTATTGCTCTACCACCGACACAGCTCCGCCGCCGGCCGCTACACCTGCCGCGCCGCCGGCCGGCGCGCCGCCGTCACGCTGCGCCACGCGCCGCACGCAGGTACGCTCGCTGCACCTCTATTGCTCTACCACCGACACAGCTCCGCCGCCGGCCGCTACACATGCCGCGCCGCCGGCCGGCGCGCCAATCCCAAAACAGTGTTGCAATGCATTATGTCACTATGTCTCTAGTGTCGTTCGTGCCTGTAGGCAAAGGTTATTATTCTTCATTTAATGAAATAGAATCCGGCTTACAATATTAAATACTATTCTATGTTGACAGTAATGAAAAATGATAATAAAAAATGAAGTTGAGCTATCTCTCTAATAATTTCGATTAAGAGCAAACCACGACGTGAATATTGTAGAGACTGTACGATTCCCTTGTAAAACTCAATTTTAAACTATATATTATAAACATTGAACTGGGCAATTCCTATTATTGCCATTCCTCTCTTCCTCCTTGTGTTTTGGTCACTCGAATAATAACAGTGACATTTCTGATATTACTGTAGTACTAGGACTTGCGATCGTGTTTTAGAAACGAACAACGAGCAAATTATGTTTTTAATACTCGTCAACTGCGGCGCTTGATTATTATCAGGTGAACATGTATTTATGTATTCTTATTTCGGATTAAAAAAATATATGGATAAACAAAAAAGATTAATAGGCCGTGTCATTGATACGAGTAAGTAATATCTGACGAGGTTTCATACAGTCAATTAATATCCCAAAAATGAGGAGTCGAACATTTACTGTATCATTATGTCAGCCTTTAACTGTCCACTGCTGAACATAAGCCTCCGCCTTGGGGGGTTTTGTCAATAGTTGCCTTGTTTGGCATGCTTATTGGCAACCACAGTTAGGCTTTATAGACGTTTCAAGAGGGACGCTGCCGGCCATCCCTCGGCTTCCTTTAGTTGTTTAGTGTACGCAAGGTGTTGTTGCAGAGGGCGAGGTGGAGGCGATGCAGCGCGACCAGGCGGCGGCGGCTACGCGCCTCGCGCTGCACGCCGCGCCACTGCTGCTCGCGATTGCGCTGCGTCTCCTGCACACCTAGCAAGGACCGCGCACCACTACATGTCTCTGTATATTTTGTATTTTTGTACATATTGTAAATAGCAGCTATTTATAGTACACTCGGTGTGCCTGAAAATATAGCACGACAGTGATGGTTTAATGTTGTTTCTGTTCTCTAAATGATATGTGGCGTGACGCCGGCCGTGCGAGTGAGGCTCGGCTGGCACGCGCCGCGCGCGGCGCCGGCTGTGTGCGGCTCGAGTGAGAGCGCTATTAGAGGCGCTGGCTATTAGCGGACTGTTTGTTTAGAGAAGTAGAGCGGCGCACACACACACACACACATACGGCTACACCGCCTCGCTACACGTAAACGCGTGCACACACGCGCCGCCGCCGCGGGAGTAGTCGTTTTTAGTGTATCGTTACCCGACGCAGTAGTAAATAACATGAAATTGGACAGTTCCGTCAATCGTGGCACGCGATCACCGGCGTCTCTATAACGCAACCTTTATTTAGAACTCGCGGTTCCGATTCGTACGCTTCTTAGATTATTTAAATATTGGACCATTGACAAAAAGAATAGTTCACTGCTGTACACGGAGCGAAAAAAATATCACGTCAGAATCTAAATATATCGCGATGTATGATCAATTAAATCTCAGAGTTAATGAAGACTCTAGACAAGAAGAAATACGGGACTTGACGATCACCAATTTCCGACAGAAGTAACATCGACGACCACCTACATTAAAAGAACATCAGCTTGGTCGTCTTGACTTTGTTTAGAAGCATGTCATAGGAATTATCAATGACCTCAAACTCAAACGCGATACTCACTGTAGAGGAATTTCATTCCGTCAATGCTCATGTGGTGGAATAAATCCTCTGCCGAGGTTTTTCCTAGAGTCTACAGACAGTATGTACTGTAGGACTGTAGAATCTCAGTCATTACTCCCTGCCTCTACAGTAGCAATGAGTTTCTTTTTACAATGTACACACTTTTTTTGATTACGTTTTAGCAAATGTCATGTACCTATGTATCAAAACAGATTTAGCAATAGCTACTAATTATTCATACAAAATATATTATAAAAAATATTTGCAATCGGGAGGAATTTTAAAACTTGGCTCTTTGATCAAAATAAGGCTGCCAAGTTATATTCGAGGCACCATGCCCGTTGCCAAATGCTGTGTAGTTGCTAGGTGTCCACGTACTGGGGCAGATGACAGCTGACCATAATATTACGACTGCGTAACGTTTGGCTGCGCGTGGTTAGATGGACGTGGAATACTTATGGTTACTCCGCACTCGGGTGCGACTCATATAACGCATAATTTACCCGGGCTTTACCCGGGTTTTTAAGCAACTTGCAACAATAAACAAATTGATGCCTCTCTGATGGAAATTAGTAGCCATTATCTATAGACATGCACAGCACGTCACGGAGGGAAGGGATTATTTTAATTACAATCTCTTCTCTCCGTGACGTGTGAAGGAGAGTCTAGCAGCCCTATTGGTAGCATATACATACTGTCAGGTCGACCTTCTTTCAGTCCTCCTGGAAATCACCGACATTAGTTTCTACTGAATTTATACCATCGTGCGTATTTTTAGGTGAATTTGTCACTATGGGCTAATTGACTCTTCTAATTCTTATCCATTACAGTGTATACCGCTAACATAAGCAGGGTTACCATTCCATTATTACCATTAAAAAAAAAACAACACGTATAAGAGATCACAAAACAGTGCGATGACGCTTAAACAAGGTTACACAACGAGAGCACTAAGTGACGTCAAGTGTCAGTCCAGGCTTTCGGTAGTTTAGACACGAAAGTCAAAGGGATTTAAAACTTATATTGGGGTTTTTTTCAGGTCGATTACATGTTAAGTAGCTGTATGCTCCGGCGAGTGACGTCACGCTCGATTCGGAATTCAACAGGAAAATATCGGAAAGCCATGCAATGAAATTTTACGTTCACGGGGTGTAATCATTCGGTTCAATAGAAATAAGTTCTTATCATGACTGGGGAACGCGATCGGCTCGGTTTATCTCCTTTTTATGGAGGCTTGTAACTTGTATCTTTTTATCGTCGATAGTAATCAACATGGTTTATATCACTCGTCGTCCACAGCTGAACATACGCCTCCTCCATAAACTGCTGCAAGAAACGGCTCTAAGACACCTGCATCCGTTGATTCTCTGCAACACATTTAAAGTTGTAAAAATACCATGTCGTATTAGTATTTGCAGTAAAGTAGGGTTTGAATTCCAAATATGAGAAGGGAAGTAGTTTGTGGCACTGGTATATCAGGTGAGCTTCTGAAAAGTGTCGTTCTAAACCTCGACGTCACAGTATGAGGCGGGCGCGGCAGGACGACGTGCTGGCGCGAGCACGCGGAGACAATGGCGCGGCGCGGACCGCAATAACTCAACGCGAACGACTTTACGTTGTATCTTAAACAATACATCTGGGGGCACAGTCTTGCAGACGGCGCGCCGCCTCCACCTCGAATGTAAAATTATCATTTGATTTCGCGCTGCCATTGTTCGTACGGGGGAGATGCGAAAAATAAGCGAGCAAAGATACGGCCCGGAAGACAAATGTGAAGTGGCTTTGTTTGTGGCGAAATATCATAAAAATATAAGACGATAAAGTGATGTGATTTATGTACGACACGGTTCGCCGCCGCCCCCGCCGCCGCTCCCCGCCCCGCTGCCGCCCCGCCGTGCAGTACAGGTGAGGCGCTGCGAACTTCAGTACTTGTTTATGTGGGTACCTCGGTAATACTCGACCACTCTACATGAGTTTATATAGCTGTAAACAATAGCCGAGTAAACTACCGGGAAAATAGACACAGTGACTATCCACTGTCTGGCTCACGAAATAAGATTTTCAATCATTTACAGCAAATAATCATCTGATGTGTATATACTACTCAAATTATACAAATGCATATACTACTCATCTGATGAGAAGTGGTAACCTTCACTTGGTAACTGCAAGAATGTTGCACACATCACAGAGTACACGGTGATCCTCGTGCCCGCCGTCAGGCGTTGCTATTCTAGAGGACTAAGTTGTTATGCCTCCCTACCATGTAATTTCACTGCCGTATCCCTTTTGACTCTTTAAGCTTTTAAACATACATCATGTTAATTAATTTATCCCATTCATGTAGTGAAGTTACGGGTAAAAACTAGTTATTAATATTTTTATCACAATTAAAATGGCAAATAAGCTGAGGCGTAATAATTAATTTAATTAAAATACGAGTAAGTAAACATTTCTTATAAATATAAATAACATAGAATATACTGTGATGCTCATGACCCCTCATGTGTTGCCATTGTCTAAAATCTGTTCAATGCGTAGTGTTTTTTATTTTTTTATTTTCAATGGTGTATAAGTACAAGTATATTTTTTTAATGGGTGGTAATGGAATGGCAACCCCGCCAGCGCTAACGATATACGTTGGTAGGGCACCAGTGAGGAATGATTAATGAAAATGAAAAAGAAGGTCAGTTAGTTCATCGTGGTAAATATATTTGGAATTCAGCACGATAGTTTCTAGGGAAACCACGTGGAGGTCGACCTGACAGGGTATATTGCTAGAAATAGGACTGGTAGTCCGCAATTCTTACGATCCCTTCTTCCAAGTGTACTTATATTAATGAAGAGCGCTGGTCGTCCGATGGACAGCGCTCCGCGTCACGAGGCGCAGCGCGAGGTGAGCGCAGACATCGCGTTAATTATTCAGCGGCGGAAGTCGTCCCAGCCTCGCCCTCTTATTTATGTTTTCCGAAACAACAATCGGCCTCCTTAAATGTATTTATTTTTGGTTTGCCTATTTTAGGCCCTCCAGGCTGTTTCAGTACCATAATTTATTTATATTACTCGTAATAGGAGATATAAGTAACAATGTATTAATTATAGAAATATTTTTTCAAGTAAACTTAAATTTAGGTATTTTTTAATAGTAATTTATTGATGATTCTACCGTCCATTCGGAACGTAATCTCAGCCAAGAAGAACGGGCAAGAAACTCAGCTGTTGCGTTTTTCAAAACGTTTTATTATATTAATTACGAAATTCGTGTGAATACAAACTACTAAGCAGTACCAGGTCATAAAATTTAAGATACTAAAAAATAATTAGGTCAAATTGGTAAAATAAATCAGTTGCAGTGACTACAGTAGATCAGTCCGTACTGGCAGCACCCGTTCACGAGTATGATGGACGAGCCAGCCATTATTGCGTTCGACTATATTTCAGGGAAATCACTAGTCTAGTCCACCACGCCACTACCTGTCTGGACATTTTAGTGAGCACGACTGACAATGCATGACATTCAAACTTACAGTGAATATATGCATCAGAACGTAATTAACAAATGGTAATTAAATTATTGTATTTACGTATGTATGTGTAATGTTGCCTAACTTTTAATTGTCTATGCATTGTCTATGATGTACTCGTACAACTAACAGCTCACTATGTTTTTTTAATGGGTGATAATGGAATGGTAATTCCGCCTGCGCTATCCGTATACGCTGGCGAGGCATCAGTGAGGGATGATAGGTGAGAATGAAAAGGCAGGTTAGTTAGCCCATCATGGCGAATTCCACTATAATTAACCACCATGGTTTCCAGGAGGGACCGCGTGGAGGTCGACCTGATAGGGTGTATTGCTAACAATGAGTCAGACCCCATAACTAACCATCCCTTTACCTCCAGCTCATTATGTTATGTTTTAGACTTGATAAAAAAGTAGACATATTTAAAAGGAATTGATAGTTGATAGGGCATTTACATACATATTTTAAATGTAATACTATATTTTAATAGATTAATTAATAAATAGAAGGCATGTTAATAACCGTGACTCTCTGCACTTGGTGGAGCTTTGTATACGTATAGATATTATTAGAGTTACACTTGTTCTCTGCCACAAAAAAAAGTGAAGGATAGTTGGAAAGTAATGACGCCATGGGGCTGCTAGTCCCCGTTACTATTAATTGCTTTCTCCGTGACTTTTTTTAGTGCTACTTAGAATGGCAAACAAGCTGACGGCCTACTGATGGAAAGTGGTAATCGTGTCGTCTATAGACATGAGCAGTACTATGGACATAACAGAGTATATATACTCTGAGTATATGTACTGTTTCG